TTTGGGTGTTCTTGTGCATCTCCCCTCACTTCATATCAGCTGGATGCTTCACTCTCAGCTCTAGCCCTCTGTGGCTATGTCCTTGTTCTTGGTCTCAGATGTCCCAGGTCTCACCACACTCTGTACCAACCAGCCCTTCCTCTTCTCTTTCTCTTCTCCAGGTCAGTGGGAGTCTATGGACTGTGGTTGTGTTGAACTCAGCCCATTTCTTCATTGCTGCCTTTCCCCCTCTTCTACTCACCAGCAGACCAATGTGGTCATCAGCAAGCTTACAAGCCTGCTCATATGTTACCTTTGAGTTTCAGTCTTAGAGGGGGTTTGTCCTGAAGGAACTTGATTGTTTGCCTTGATTGCTTCCCGGTGAACAGTTTGCTTATTCTTGTAGTAGCCAGTCATACTGCCATTTTTGTTTTGGGTTTTTCCTGATGATCTTTCTTTGAACATGTATCTTCTGTCGCTCTAGCTATTCCAGGAGGGTCTGCTTGTCCTTTGTAGTGGGAATGCCCACCTCAGAAGGTTCTGGAGGGGACTCAGGATTCCACCTAAGATCCTATACACTTCAAAGGCTCTGCAAGAGGCCTATTTCACTGGGCAAGTTGAAGACGGGCTTATAAACTTTCTGTAATCATATTTCCTGACATTCCTTTATATCCCACTCAGGTGTCTATTTTACAATAGTAGGCAAGGGAAACCAATATTCATAAAACAGTCAAACATCTTAGTATTATTTCCCTTCTTCAAATTATGCCTAGATCTCTGTATCACAGAGCCTTGTTGTTCCAAGGTTGAGCATGCATCACTGTTTACCTCTGTCCCATTTAGCCCATGCAAATCTGTCTCATTATAAACTTGTTTTTAAAACAGATCTTCTACACATTCAACCAGCACCAAACAATGGTACCTATGGAAGTTTGAACCATCTTCTGAAGACACCTTTTTATGAGCCATCCCACCCAGAAGAAGTGTCGAAGTCTTCTGTTTGCAGCTTTACTAATCCATTGCCCACAGATGATCTGGGATGCTCATGTCCTGGGCTACAAAATGTAAGTGATAACTTCGTGCACCCATAAGAACATAAAGGAGAAAACTAGTCTGTCTATAACCAAGATGGTCAACAACCAGGGAGCTGATGGATTGGTTTGTGTCCTGGCTCAGGTAAACATTTTCTACGTATGTCATTTCTCTCAACCTTATCTGTAAATAAGAGATTATAATGTATGCATTATAAGATTAAATATTTGAAATTGCTTTGTAAGCTGGAAAGCAATACTTAGAAATTAATTGTTAACCAACAGTAGAATTAACCAACAAATTATTATTAAAAAAACAACAGTAGAAATTCGGATCTATCTTTGATTTCCTACATATTACGTTCCTATTACAGCTTAAGAAACAGATGGCAGTAGTTGGTTGTTTAGAACAGAATGAGCATGGAGAGTGTATCAGGTGAAATACGCATCCAGCCTTAAACACACCCACTGGGGTAGATACTGTGGTGTAAACTAACAGGAAAACTTAACAATCACAAGAGGTCTGGTCTTACTCCAGATAAACCCAGACAAGTAGTTGACCGGGAGAATCATAGATGAAGGTAGTGGAGAATTCCTCTCGGGCAACACTTGGAAGTAAGTCAATAGCATTAGGAAAGTCAATATTGTGGATCAGGCATCAGACTCAGGATCCAAAGACTCTCAATAAGGAGAGATTCTAGGGGTAAGGAGGGTCCTAGGGATAGGGAATCAAAACACAAGCACACCTGTGAGAATTAGAGTGTATGAGTGGGGATGGAATTTCAGAATGAAATTGGAGCCCAGATGTCAGGGACCCATCAAGTTAAGACAAATGCCAAAGTAGATTTGATGCCCAGTTAAAAAACGTGATTGTAAAGCTAAATATAACATTTGCTGCCTCAGGTAAAAGTTGTTTCTTGTAGGGGTGGCCAAAGACGTTATATTCTAGAATTCTCAAAAGAATATTATATAATGGGGGTTTTATTCCCCATATTATAGATAAAAAGGACTCAGAGTTGTTAATTGTCCCGTGTCAAAGAAACTTGTCGTAAACTCTAAACTCCAAATTTTTAAAATATCTCTTCTAACTCAAAGTGCGGTTGGTGGTCTTATGTCACTTGCAAGCACATTGTTGTTATTGTTAAGTGCTGTTGGGTCATTTCCGACTCATAACAACCTTGAATAGGGTTTCCAAGGAGCAGCTGGTGAGTTTAAACTACCGACCTTGAGGTTCAAACTGACCTTGTGGTCCAGTGCTTATCCAATGGTGCCATATCAGGACTCTACTGCAAGCTTATTAGAGATACAGAATCTCAGATCCTGTCTCAGAATTTCTTAATCAGAACATGCATTTTATAAGATCCTTGAGTGCCTTGCACAGTAGCGCTTGAGAGGTACTGAATGGTGTCATTCCTATTTAGGAGTTCATTCCAGCTGTGGTCAAAATGCTTTGCCCCATCATCAATTATATTTTTGTAAACCCACAAAGAAAAAGGTATACTGTGAGTAGTAGTATTTTAGAGTGCATGACAGAATTGGAATTTAAACTCAAATAGTCTGGCCTCTTTATCCTATTTTGTTCAGTGGCAAAATACTTGGCGTGATTACTACAGAATTGATCTTAATCACCTTTTTAAAACCTGAGTTATTACTTGAACTTACTTCCCTCTCTCCTCATTCTCTTGCAGAAAGATGATCTACAACGCGTGAATCAAAGGCTAAATCTTGCCTCGGCTGGCAGTGAGTCAATAGAAAGCATGTTAAATCTTTGGGAGACTGCATGTGATTTCGTTTTCATTTTCACCTACCTCACCACTCCTCATGGCGCTTCCTTTTGGAGCTACCATCATCCACTTTCACGCTAGATGTGCTCCAGAACATAACACAACATTACGTGTTTATGATTCTCCAAAAGAAGTTCACAGAGTCTTTTGAATATAAAGGGTTTATTGCTAATATACAGGAGGAAAAGAACAAATCTCGTAACAACAGCAAGCATGAAGTAGTTACAAATGTTCCAGCAATATAAATCCCTTGAAATGGTTGTACCACACCTGTAGTCTCTGCTTCCCTTTCTTAGAGGTGAAAAGACCTGATTTTATAACCTGGTCAGAATTAACTTCTATCTCCTTATTTATACTACTAATAATAGCTATGCCAGGTAGATTAAAGATTAGAGTTAATCCATGGAAAGAGTTTAGAACTCTTCCTGACCTATGTTGTTGTTGTTATGTGCTGTGGAGTTGGTTCCGACTCATAGCGACCCTGTACAGGGTTTCTGAGGCTGTAAATCTTTATGGGAGCAGAAATCCTCATCTTTCTCCCACGGAGCAGCTGGTAGTTTCGAACTGCTGACCTTAAGGTTCACAACCCAATTCGTAACCACTACGCTACCAGAGCTCCTTCTCCTTGCCTGTAGCAATGTTATAATTACCTGTTGTCATTTAAATGACGAGTTCTAATGGTGCACTTGACTGCTAAGCAAAAGATCGGCCGTTGGAATCCAGCAGTCTGTCAACCAGAGAAAAATGTGACAGTCTGATTTCTTAAAGATTGGCAGACACCTTCGGAGTCCTGGTGTGGCACTGTGGGCTAATGTGTCAGCCTGCAAAGTCATTTGAACTGCAAGGCTGGCGGTTCAAGCTCACCAGCTGCTCCTTGGAAACCCTATACAGGGTCGCTATGGGTCGGAATTGACTTGACGGCACTTCACAACAACAACAACATGTGGGCATTGCGGTAAATGATAAATGGAGTAAAGATTGAAGTTGTGAAAGACTTCATTTTGATTGGATCCAATATCAACATTCATCGAAACAGCAGTCAAGAAATCAAATGATGTATTGCATTAGACAAATCTACTGTACAAGACCTTTTTAAAGTGTTCAAGAGCAAAATGTCAGTTTGAGGACTAAGGGGCACCTTACCCAAGCCATGGTATTTTTAAGGTATTTTTAATAGCCTCATGTGCATGTGAAACTTGGACAGTGAATAAGGAAGACCATAGGAGAATTGATGCATTTGAATTATGGTGTTGGAGAAGAATATAAAAAGAACCCTGTACTGCCAGAAGAATAAACACATCTGTTTTGGAAAAAGTACAGCTAGAGTCCTGGTGTGATACGGTAGGATAATGGACTGTTAACTGCAAGGTTGGTAGTTCAAACATATCTACTGTTTCCTGGAAACCCTATACAGGGTTGCTATGAGTCGGATTCAACTCAGTGGTACATAACAACAACAAGCTGTATCTATAAACCAATACTATTAGGGACTTCAAAAAGTTCATGGAAAAATGGAATAGAAAGATAATAGAATTTTTTCATGAAATCTAAGCCCTCTCACATATTAACCTTTGTGAGCAATTAATAAATAATTGATATTTCTGAGGACAAATTACTAACAAAAATGACAAAATGGATATTGAAGAAATCGTCTTTTTAATTTTCACTAGCTTTTTAGACTGAAAGGAACCCTTGTGGCGCTGTGGGTTAGCTGGTTGACTGCTAACTGCAGTTTTGTCAGCAAGATGAAGCTGTGTGCTCCTGTAAATACTGTTGCTGTTCTTGGGTTTTGTCAAGTCAGTATTGACTCACAGCAACTTTGTGCATAATAGGGTGAAACAATGCCCAGTCCTGTGGCAATCTCACGGTCGTTGCTACGCTCGAGCCCTTTACTGCTGCCACTGTGCCAATCCATCTAGGTGGGGGTCTTCCTTTTTTTTTGCTGACCCTTCATTTTACCAAGCATGATTTCCTTCTCAAGGGAAACTCTGTGTAGGATCCCTAGGTCAGAATCAACTCAGTGGCAGTGGTTTTTTGCTGTTGTCGATGGTGGTTGTGTTGTATTCTTAGGCCAGCCACTTTACCATCACTTACCTAACAGTTTGTTGAACTGTGGTGGCTTGCATGTTCCTGTGATGCTGGAAGCGATGCCACCATTTTTAAATACCAGCCGGGTCACCCATGGTGGACAGGTTTCATTGGTGCTTCCAGACTAAGACAGATTAGGAAGAAGGAGAGGTGTATTACTTCTGAATGTTCAGCCACTGGAGACCTTACGGTTAGTAGCAGGACCTTGTCAGATATAGTACGAAAAGATGACAACACTATGAATAGCAACAGAACACTATCAGATATAGTGCTGGAATATGAGCCCCTCAGATTTGAAGGTTCTCAAAATATAACTAGGAAAGGGGTGTCTCCTCAAAGTGGAGTTGACCATGATGATGCATGTGGAGTAAAGCTTCTGGGACCTTTATTTGTTGATGGGGCACAACTCAAAATGAGAAGAAATAGCTGCAGCCTCCATTAATTATGTATGTACAAGCCATGAATCTAGGAATATCGAAAGGTGTCATATTTGCATGACAGCTACCTGACCAACTATTTGTGCTCATTTGAAGGAAAGGCATCCCAATGGAATGCAGAAAACTTCAAACAAGATGAATATCACATGCAAGTAAAATTTTGCTGAAGACAACTCAAAAATGGCTGCAACAGTACATTGACAGAGAACCACAAGAAATTCAAGTTAGTCAAAAAAAGACTTAGAATGACGGCTATCACTGCTGACATCAGATGGTTATTTGCTAAGAGCAGAGACTACCAGAAAGATGTTTACTTGTGCTTTATTGACCATGCAAAGGCTTTTGATTGTGTGGATCATGACAAACTATGGATAACATTTTGAAAAAAAAAAAATGGGTATTCCAGAACACTTAATTGTGCTCATAAGGAACGTATATATAGAACAAGAGGCAGTCATTTGAACAGAACAAAGGGATAATGAATGGTTTAAATTAAGGAAAGATGTATTTCAGGTTTGTTTCCTTTCACCATATGCATTTGATCTGTTTGCTGAGCAAATAACCTGAGACACTGGATTATCTGAAGAAGAACATGGCATCAGGATTGTAGGAAGACTCACATGCAGATGATACAACCTAGCTTGCTGGAAGTGAAAATAAAAATCAAAGACCACAGCCTTCAGTATGTGTTGCACCTCAAAATAAAGAAAATAAAAATCCTCACTACTGGACCAATACATAAAATCATGATAAATGAAGAAAAGAATGAAGTTGTCAAAGATATTTTTTGCTTGGATCCACAATGAATACTCATGAAAGCAGCAGTTAGGAAATCAAATGATGAATTGCGTTAGGCAAATCTGTTGCACAAGACCTCTTTAAAGTTTTCAAGAACAAAGATATCAGTTTGAGCACTAAAATGTGCCTAACCCAAGCCTTTGTTCTTCACAATCATTTAAATAGCCTCAAGTGCATGTTTCCTGCAATGGACTCAAGAGTGGCGATGATTGTGAAGTTGGTGCAGGACAAGACAGTGTTTCCTTCTGGTGTGCATAAGGTCACCATGAGACGGTACTGACCCAATGGCACCTAACAACAGCAACAACAACAAATGCATGTGAAAATTGGATCGTGACTAAGGAAGACCACGGAAAAATTGATACATTTGAATTATGGCATTGAAGAAAATTGTTAAATCTGCCAGAAAAACAAATAAATCTGTACACCCAGGATGGCAAGACTTCCTGTCTCACACTTCCTTGTTATCAGAAGAGACCAGTCCCTGGAGAAGGACATTATACTTGGTAAAGAAGGGTCAGTGAAACAAGGAAGACCTTCAAGGAGATGAAGGTGCTACTTCCCAGTGAAGTGAAGATGTGAAGATGGCGTAGGGCTGAGCAGAGTTTTGTTATGTTGCGCATAGGGTCACTATGAGTCAGAACCAACTCAACAACACCTAATCAAACAGTAGGCAAGCCACTTTACCTGAACATAACGTTCTCCTTTTTTTTTTAAAAAAAAAAATAGTATTTTGAAGTAACAATGTAAAAAGACTGAGATTCTAAATAATTAGAAAAATGTGTCTAAATGCTATAAACCAGTTTTGGAGAGATCACATGATGGATGTGAAAAAAAGACAGCTTTCAAACTGAACGATATGTCAGAGTTTACTTCATTCTTTGATTTGCTGGTAGACTTGGGCAAGCCACTTGACCTTTTTGAATCTCTGGTGTCTTATGCGTAAACTGAAGATAACTCTTTCAGCTAAGTCGTAGAATTTTGGGGAGAATCAAATATAGTAATGTAGGGCTTTGTAAATCTGAAAAGGATTATATAATTCTAAGGAGCCCTGGGAACGTAGTGGATTACAAGCTGGGTTGCTAACCACAAGGTCAGTAGTTTGAATCTACCAAGGAGAAAGGTAAGGCTTTCTGCTCTCATAAAGATTTTCAGACTCAGAAACCCTATATAGGTCATTATGTCAGAATTGACTCTATGGCAGACAACCACCACTGCCATGTAAATCTAGTTAAAGGTAAAGCTAAGCACAAATGCATATTATATCACCTAGAAGGAAAAAAAAATTAGTGCTTAATATAATACAAACATTGATTAACAACACATTGAATGCTAGTATATTAGAAACAATGTTATATAGAAAAGGAATTCTAGGATAATTACTGTATCCCAGACAAGTCAATCAAAACCAAATCTATTGCAGTTAAGTTGAATTCTGATTTACAGTGATTCTGTAGGACAGAATAGAATGGTTCCAGAGGTTTCCAAAACTAAACTTTACGGAGGCACACTGTCACATTTTTCTCCTGTGGAGCAGCTGGTGTATTCAAACTGTCAATCTTTGGATTAGCAGTAGAGTGAGTAACCTTTTGAGAAGGCAGATTCTGTTTCTATAGGTCTTGAGTAAGGTCTG